CACGTGTACCCCATTTGTGTAGGGTGAAGGAGAGCCTAAAGCCTCTCTGTGGAGCAGTTTCAGAGCGGTCACAGGGCACCACGGCATGTGAGCGACCCGTGGACAGGTGACATCAGGGTCAAATGCAGAGAACAGTTCCACAGGAGGTGGGCTTGAGAAAAACAGCTCCATTTCCTGCTCTGTAGTCACTCAAGGTCAGTTTTAGGTGCTTTCTTTCGGTCGTTCATTGTTGCTCTTAAGCACGTCACCGGTATAGGTCCCATTTTATCAGAAGTCATGTGATCTGGGCTGAACCGTGGACCTTGCTCTCCGATTCACTCTGCTCAGGTGATAAACAAGTTTACAAGGGCAGCTGGCTCTCTGTGCCTGCGCCATGCCACGGGGTGGTTGAAACACCCTGGCCATGGTGGGATTCCCCCGTGGCCAGACTGAGCCTGGGCAAGGAGGGGCCCAAGACAAGAAAAAAGAGGAAGGAAAGAGGAAATTCCTGTCTTGCTGAATTCCACATACGCAGAATGTCCGGAAGGATTTCAAGGATTTGAGGCAGCGGGAGTAAAATTAACATGGGGTCTCCTGGTGTGTGTGTGTGTGGTGGGGGGTACAAATGGTTAATACGCTGGCTGCCAACGGAAAGGGTGATGGTTTGAGTCCACCCGGAAGCCCCTCAAAAAATGTCAATCAATTGAATCGGTGACAGTCAGTTTGGGTTTGGGGTTCTTTTTGAAACCAAAACCAGCCATTGAAAACCCTCACGGTGCACAGTTCTCCTGGGCCCCACACGGGACACCACCTGTCAGAGTCGGCTGGCGGGAACTGGTTCCCAATGAGACAAAATCTCCCCAGGATGTGTGGAATGGCCCTCCACAGACTCACTCCACATGGAGTGCTTTTTCTCAGGGCGGTTTTTAAAACCCTTCTTGGCCAGCCATCAAGTCCCAGCCTCCAAGGTTAGAGACCACCATGGCGGGCACAAAGAGCGCTCAGACGGGAACAGTCTGAGTGGAGAAGAATGGGTGGCGCCCACTCACAGCCTCCCAGAAGGAGGGAGCAGGGCAGTGGGAAATGCTGTCACTCCTTTGGGTGGGGGGAGGAATGGGAAGAGGCCTGCACACCTGGGGAGATCCTGGAACCAGTCCTGGCTGACATCAGCCCTCTCTCCCTCTCCGTCCCCGGGGTTATGGCACCTGCTGGGTTTGATTCTCACCTCTCTCTCTTTTTTTTTTTCCTTCATTTTAAAAAATTTTTATTTTATTTTTTTTATTAAATATTTTATTAGGGGCTCATACAACTGTTATCGCAATCCATGCACACATCAATTGTGTAAAGCACATTTGTACATCATTCTCAAAACATTTTCTCTCCACT